TGGGCATATAACCAAAGGAAATGAAATCAGTACCTCATAGAAAGATCAGCATTCCCATGTTCACTGCAACATTATTCACAATAGGCAAAATATGGAAACAACCTAAGACTCCACTGACAGGTAAATAAAATGAAAAATATAAAATGGAATAGTATTCATCCTTAAAGAAGGATATACCACCATTTATGACAACATGGATATACCTGGAGGACATTATACTGAGTGAACTAAGCCAGGCAAGGAAGAAAAACACTGGTCCCTACTTTTTTGAGCCAAAGGACCAACACTAACAACCAGCTAACTCCGGAATTCTTGCTATGTGCTTAGCTCACTTAGTGGAGGTTTTCTGTCATTTGCAGCGGAAAGCAATCCTAACTGTTAAGTCATACAAAGCTATTTGGATTTTATCCCAGAGATAATGAAGATTCACTGAGGAATTCTTAAAAATATTAAGAATTACATCATCACACCTGAATTCTCGAAAGACTGTACAGACTGTGAAACAAGCTTGGAAGCAGGAAGCCCGTGGAAAATTCCATTAGGGTGATGCAGGCCCCGGCGCGCTGGGGCTTGAATCAATTCAGTGATGGTGGGAAGCAAGTGAAGGCGATGCAGTTGAAAGGCCTCTAGAGGTGAGAGGAGTCAACCCAAAACCATTTGTGACAACAGCAGTGAAGAAGAGCATCAGTGGTTAAAACCGTACTTTCGGATTAGGTGATACTCTGGAGGGGCGCACAAGGAGTGTTTTTAAAGAGAAGGACCCAATTCCATTCTAGGCCAAGTTGAATTGTAAATGCTTCTAGCACTTCCAAGTGGTAATTCTCAGGTCACTCAGATAGGCAGCTCAGGAAGTCAGCAGACGGGGGAGTAGTAACTGTCTAACAGACACATGATAGAATTCAAAATTTAATATTACAATAAAATAACAATACTCACTATTAAGTAATATCAACAAATAGTAAAACACCTAAAATATAACTAAACAAAAGAACACACTCATAAAAATACAGCAGTACACACCCACACAATCCTGGCGTCCAGAAATAATTAGCAATAAAACATGGTTATGCATACACACATAATATACCCACATAAAGAGTATCATACTGTATGTGCTCTGTGATAAAGGGCTTTATTCACTTGATAGCATGTCAAAAACATCTATTTCAATTAATATTTAGGTTTTTTCATTTTTTCCTACTATAAACAGTTCTGTCATTAATTTTCTCCAAGGAAAATTTCTATTTACATCGTTATTTCCTTAGGAAAAATTCCTAGAAGTAGGATTTCTAGAAAAACAGCATGTGTGCTTTTCAAAAAGCCTTTAAAATGTTGGTTTTAATTTATTTACTTGCGAGTCAGAGAGAGACACATACATAGAGAGCGCTCACATCTGCTGGTTCACTCCTCAAATGCTTGCAACAACGATATTGGGCTGGGACCAAAGATGAGAAATGACACTGCAATCGGACATCCCTGTGAGCAACAGGGATTCAAATATCTGTGCTGTCACCACTGCCTCCAGGGTCTGCACTGCGGCCAGAAGCAGAACTTGAACCAGGCACTGCAAGGCGGGATGCAGGCCTCTTGAGCGCCAGGCCAAACGTCCATCCCAGCATATGTGCTTCTGATGTTGCCAAATCATTCTTTAGAGAGTTTGGAGCAATTGGAATTACAATTCCATCGGTACTTTGTGCACATACTAATTTCCCCAAACTTTCTATAAAACCAGTTAGATATTTCATCATTGAAATCTTTGGGAATTTTATAAAATGAAAATGTTAATCTCATAGCTGCTTCCATTTTGCATTTGTTTGCTAGAATTTGAGTTAACGATGTTTTACTGGCAATTCGCATTTTTTTACAAACTGCTCATTTCTGTCCTTTGTTATATTTTCTCTGGGGAAAAATATATTGATTCATAAGAGCTCTTTATATGTTATAAACTTTAACCTTTGTTCACTAATGCAAACTAAGAAAAACTAAAGTTTGGCACTTGTCATTTACTTTTAGGGAGCATAATGGTAAGTAGAGCTTTTAAATTATTGGCATACTCTAGGTTTGAAGTGGATGTTGTGAAAAATGGGAACAAGTTGTAACCAGAAAAAAACAGAAAGACTAAATCACTATGAGGAAGACTCAACTGAAATCATGAATTTTTCATGGATTAAATCTGCAAATTGCAGCAGTACTTGGTAAGTTAGGTGTAGAGGCAGAATGCGTCATCACCTTACCAGGTCTTCACATATTAACCCTGACTACAGAATCAGATAGTGAAACCAGTTCTTCCCCAAAGGAAATCTAATCAGCCATACAATATTCAGAGGCACCAGGCAAAACAAAACAAAGCGAACTATGAAAATAGGAAAAACTCATTCATGCAGCAGAGGAACAGTTTGGGCATTTAAACCACTGAGCGTTTACTGCCAGGCAGTTTTAAACTAGCTCCTTTTATATGCACAGCATCTGTTCTCCAGAAATGATCCAGAGGAGAAAGCCAGCCATCTTCCTAAAAGAGTACAACTGTGAACTAAGAAATAGACCAAGGCCAGACCCTCACAGGCTCACATCTCTCTGTCTCTATCTGTCCAGGAGATCATCAAACACCTCAGACATCCCCCAGACACAAGACTCACACAGAGAGAGTGTGAGTAGGATTCAGTTAGAGTTAGCGGTTCATCTATTACTCTAACCAATTCACTGGATCTAGCAAATTTTACTTTAGCCACTCTACTTCCCATTTTCTTGTAGTCTCCTTTTATCTAAGCCCATATTCAATGCAAAGATTCATTGTCAGTATTTAATTCTAGACCAAAGAGAGGGATGGAAAGGAGGCAGATTGAAAGGGACAAAAAACAGGGTCATGTACCCTTTCAGCCTTGACAAGATCACAAGACACACAGCAAACACTAGGCCATTCAATGAATTACCACATTCAGTGGTCACAACTGAGGGTCATGCTGGCCAAAATGGAAAACTGCCAAGCACGTCCTGTGCCCAGCAGAACGCCAAAGTCCAGCACTCTGTTCACTCACATGCAAGAGGTTTGCTTTTCTTGCTGTTTGATTTATTTTCATTTCATTTCATATTTTAAAGGCAAAGAGACAGAGAAGAGAGATCTTCCATCTATTAGTTCACTCCCTCAGTACCTACAAGGCCAACCAAGAGCCCAGAACTCAACCAAGTCTACCATGCAGGTGGCAGGGATGTAAGTATTTGAGCCATCACCTGCTGCCCCCCAGGGTATGCATTAGCAGAAAGTTGGATGAACAGCAAAGTAGAGAAGACTTGAACCAGGTACTCCGAGATGGGATGCAGGTTGCCCAAATGACATCACCAAATGCTCAGCCCTAAGATATTTCCTGCAACAGCTAATTTTCAGGTGTTTTTTGTGGTCTTGGAAAGTCAAGAGCCTCTCTTTTACCCCCACTTCATTTTGGGGGTATCTTCATCATACATTTCAAAGATCTTCACTGGGGCCAGTGCTATGGCACAGTGGGTTAAAGCCCTGGCCTGAAGCGCCAGCATTCCATATGGGTGCCGGTTCTAGTCCCGGCTGCTCCTCTTCCAATCCAGCTCTCTGCTATGGCTTGGGATAGCAGTAGAAGATGGCTCAAGTCCCTGGGCCCCTGCACCTGCGTGGGAGACCTGGAAGAAGCTCCTGGCTCCTGGCTCCAGATTGGCGCAGCTCTGGCTGTTGCAGCCATCTGGGGAGTGAACCAGCAGATGGACGACCTCTCTCTTTGTCTCTACCTCTCTCTGTAATTCTTTCAAATAAATAAAATAAATCTTACAAAAAAAGAAAAAAGAGAGTCGATCTTCACTCATTCAATTGCTTGTGAACACATGATGTCAGAGTTTCAAACATCTCTTTTCCAGCTCCAGTGTCCTTTCTATCTATTTCAGCCTCAGAGAAAGAGCAAAGACGAAATTCCTTTGATATGTGAGTACCTGGGCAAGGAGGCCCTAGGCTCTGGATTTCCTCAAACAGGGTGAGGAGCTGACCAATGATCTGAGCCTTTGCTGATCCAAGAAGGCATGAACCTGATCTTGGCCACTGCACATGAACCTGCCAGGTAAGGCCAGCCAGTTAAGTGCTGTGAAGCCCTCCTTTTTGAAATCAGGTGACACACCATCCACGGCCCCCTCACAAAGAGAAGCCACGAGCTGCCTTTAGCCTCAAGCCTTCAAATAGAAATGTCAGGTTATGCGTCTTAACTCTGAGGTCACCACATATCAACACTGGCTAGAGAAATACAAAATAAAACCACTCCTTGTGCACAGGAAATCTAATCAGAACCTCAGTCACTTCCTTTTCATATGACAGGCCCAGACATCAGACAAAACAAAACAACAGCAAACTATCAAAAAATTGAAAGCTCAGTCAAGCAGCAAAGGAACAGTTTGGTCACTCAAACCACCAAGCATTTCCAGGTATGTTCGAGTGGTCCCTTTCTTATGAACAACATTGGTTCTTAGGAAATGATCTGGAGAAGAAAGTCATCTTTCTAAAGAGTACAACACATCCAGGGAAGGGACAAACATCAGACTCTCCCAGACTCACATACCTTCTGTCTCCACTGCTCCCAGAAGATTACCAGACACCCCAGAGGGTCCCCCAGACAACACACACAGACACAGACACAGACACACACACACACACACACACGCAAATGGTATGGGGTTGAGAACTGCGCAGAAATAACCAGCCCCTTCCCTCCTCCAGTTAACACACGATGACAGAAGCCAACAGTAGCCCCAGGCTAATTCACTTACTCACTGAGCCCAAAGGAAACCAAACCTTTTCAGCAAGATAAAGTTCTTAGAATTCTGCATCTGCCAAATGAGAGGCTGCCAAGCTTCACTCCCAAGCAGAGGAAGGTTCCTCTCAAAACTCAGCATGGCAAAGCGTGGCTAGGATAACACAGTGTCTGTCCTAGCACAAGGCCAGAGACGGCCACCCAGGAGACAGCTCATGGCGACCGACACCAGGCACCTACCTGAGACAAACGAATAGGTGGCAAGGATGTTGCTGAGCAGAGCCATCTCCACGTGCTCTGAGGTCGCCGGCTCTGTGCTGGGGCTGACGGGCAGCTTCATGGGGCATCCAGAGGAGCCCTCCTGTGATGCTTGGGCTCAATCAACACGGCCACTCTCCCCCTCTTCTCTTCTGTTTGGGCACACAAAGTGAGGATGAGACACATTTTGCTTTCTCAAGGCTGTAATCCAGGTAGCTGAGGCTTAAGAACAAAAGGCCGAGTTCTCAAGTGCCAGCCAACTTTCCCAGCCAGGGGAACCCAAAGATCTGAGGTTTTGTCCCCTTTGCTAATTGAGCTTCTTGACTTTCAAGGAAGCAGCAGCTCCTTCCATCTGTTTTCCCTAGCCTTTCTCCTCTCCCTTCCCCATCTTTTCCCAGCTCCCCACTGCAATGCCTCCCTTACTTTACCTGGTACTCTCTGGTCCACCTGCAAGGCATTGGAGCCCACTGGGTTCAAATCTTCGCCATCTTAATCACTGGGTTTCAACACTAAGCCACGGTCCTCTCCTCTCCTTTCCCTGGAGCCTACACTGAGGGCAGTTGTGTACCTTGATCAGGTTGCCTCATCCCTAAGGTCACCAAATGTGCGTCCTTGGCAATGAATCAGAGCTGCCTATCCCGGAACTGCTAACATAGCCAGAAGAATTTGGGAGCTCAAGCCTGCTCCCTGCCCCCAGCTCCATGAGTTCCCTGCTGACTGTAACAAGACAACCACGCACACACCCAACATGGTTCACAGACTGCCCTCCGACAGAGCAGTCCCATCAGGGGTCAGAACAGGGGCTCAGAATCCCAGTGTCAGTGGTACAACCTCTGGCAGGAGGAGGACATCCCCTCCTAGCTGCTGCTGTGGCTCTGACGCAGTGGCATTGTGCAGCGAAGGCCTCACTGAGAGCCCCTGAGGATGGAGGGTGTGACATGGCAAAGACCCAGTGACTCACATTCAGAGCTGCCATGAGCTGAAGGCAGGAACTGAGTCACAGCTGTGCAGGGATGTCGCACTTGGGGCAGGCTAGAGAGGCAGAAGGCTCCAGGCCTTGGAGAAGAAACTCCGGTTTCAGTGGGTCATAGACCTCAGGAACACGGATCACATTCAGAGAGCTCAGAGAAATGCAGTTCCACCAAGTGGATGGAACAGGTTACAACTGAAGAGACACCTCTCCATCTGGAAGATTCCAGTAGCCTTCAGAGAAGAGCAAAGTGAGGAACAACGCACAACTCACAGATAAGACAGGAACAGCCACAGGTCCTGAGAACAGCCAGAGGCCCTGGGAGTGGGCGCTTCCAGGGATCTAAGATGGAGCTGGCCAGTATGGGGCTCAGGGGTCCCCCAAGCCTCGGAGCCAGAGAGCAGAGCCTTCTCCAACAGCCATTTGAGTTCTTAAAAGGTGACAACTGTATGATACATGTGAGGAGTTGGAATTACTTTCCTGAGGACTTCAGGACCCAGGAAGAAAATGAAGTCACTGGAATATGGCTGACTATGTAGTGAGACAAGGCTGTTTTAGATCCATCCCCTCCTACTTTCCTCCACAGCATAAATCTCATCACTTCATTTCTGGGAGTTTGCAACTACGTTCTACCGGGCCTTTCTGCCGATACCTTCTTCCTGCTCAACCTAGTAGCCATTCTCACTAACAGTGTTGTCTTCCTATAGTTCAAATCTGATGACATCACTCCATAGCCCAACCCTTCAGGTCTCATTAAACTTCTCAACACAGATCTACTTTCACAATATTTGATGCCTGACTTAGCTCTAACTCTGTCTGCTACCCAAGTCTATATTCAGACATGCACACAGCGATACGCACACGCTTAAGGCTCCAGCAACTCCAGATGACTCAGTTCCCCAAATACTCAACTCTCTTTCATCTCTGTGCTTTTGATCATGTTCTTCCCCCTCATCTGTCTGGCAAATGTTTCCTTTAAGAGAAAATTCAAAAGTTCTATGGCAGTCTCAAACTCCCAATGACTCAGAAACAGAAAACTCTGTACTAAAATATGGATTCTCAACTGATCCCAAATAGCCAAAACAATCTTGAAATTCTGAAGATCAAGGTCGGAGGTCTCCCTCTTCCTAATTTAAAAACCTGTTAGCTACAGTAATCAAAGCAACATGGGACTTGCAGAAATCAACCCCAAGGAGCAATGAGATAGAATAAAAAGCCTGCAAAAAAACCATCGTGCATATATTTTTTTCAAATGGTTTTCAACAAAGAACCCAAGCTTCTTCAGTGGAGAAAACCTGCCTTAATACCATAGGAAAAATAACTCAGGGTCCAGTGTTGGAGCACAGCAGGTTAAGCTGCCACCTGAGATGCCAGCATCCCATTATGAGCACTGGCTCAAGTCCCAGCTCCCTGTTCATGTGCCTGGGGAAGCAGCAGAAGATGATCCAACCACCTGGGCCCCTGCCATCCATGAGAGAGTCCCAGACGGAATTCCAGGCTCCTGGCTTTGGCCTGGACCAGCCCAGGTCATTGCAGCCACTTGGGGAGTGAACCAGCAGATGGAAGATCTCTTCCTCTCTGTGTCTGTCGGTCTCTCTCTCTCCCTCTAACTGCTTTTCCAATAAATAAATCTTTAAAACAACTCAGAATGTATCAAAGGCTTAAATGTAACAGGTGAAACTTATACAACTGTTAGAAGAAAACAGGGGTAAAGCTTCATGACACTGTATTTGGCAATGATTTATTAGATACGACACTAAAACCACAGTCAATAAAAATTTAAAAGGGGGGGGGTTCCACTAAAATTAAAAACTTCCATGCATTAAAGAATATAATTAGCAAAGTGAAAAGGAAACCACAGAATGTAAGAAAAAAATCTATAAATCCTGTGTCTTGATATCTGCAATATATATGAATCAACAACAAAAAATGATTAAAAATGAGCAAAGGATTTAAGCAGATATTTCTCCGAAGATACACAAACACAAATAGTAAGCACTGAATAGATGCTCAACATCACCAATCATTAATGAAATGCTAATCAAAACCATAATGAGATACTACCTCACATCCATTAGCTACTGAACTGCTACCAACAAAGAAACAGAAAATAATAAATGTTGGAGAGGGTTTAGAGAAATTTGACCCCTTGTACATTCCTGGTGAGAAGGTAAACTTAGGTAGCCACAACTGGAAATAATATAGCTTCTCTAAATATTTTAAAATATAATTACTATGTGGCTTAGTGATTCCACTTCTGGGTATACACTGTAAAGAATTAAGAGACAGCAAATAGACACCCACGTTCAGAGTGGCATTACGCACAACTGCCAGAAGGCAGAAGCTACTCAAGTGTCCATCTACAGCTGAACAGAGAAACAAAATGTGTTGTTGCATACAATGGAACACTGCCTTAGAAAGTAAGGAAATTCCGGCTGGCGCTGTGGCTCACTTGGCTAATCCTCCGCCTGCGGCGCCAGCACCCCGGGTTCTAGTCCCGGTTGCTCCTCCTCCAGTCCAGTTCTCTGCTGTGGCCCAGGAAGGCAGTGGAGGATGGCCCAAGTGCTTGGGCCCTGCACCCACAGGGGACACCAGGAGGAAACACCTGGCTCCTGGCTTCAGATCAGCACAGCACACCGGCCGCAGCAGCCATTTGGGGGGTGAACCAATGGAAGGAAGACCTTTCTCTCTGTCTCTCTCTCTCTCTATCTAACTCTGCCTGTCAAAAAAAAAAAAAAGTAAGGAAATTCTGACATAGGCTACAACATGGGCAACACTTGAGGACATTATGCTAAGTGGTATGACTCAGCTAGAACTGGACAAATATTGTATGCTTCCACATATATGAAGTACCCTGAGCAGTCAAACTCAAAGATCAGAAGGGAGAACAGTGCATCGGGGGCTAGAGGAAGGGAGCAACGAAGAGTTACTGTTTAATGGGCACAGGGTACAAAGTTTCAGTTTTGCAAGATGAAAACAATTCTGGACATGGACAGTGGTAACAGTTGTATAATAATGCAAATATACTTAATGCTACTGAACTGCTCATTTAAAAATAGTTAAGATAAATTTTACGTTATGTGCATTTTGCTAAAATTTTAAGAATTAATAATAATAATATTATTAAGGTGTTGGTAACGTACAATAGTAAATTTTGCAGGTTATTTAGAGAACTCTACACTCAAAGTTTGATGTTAAGTTAACAAGAATGGTGGCAGAGTTACCTGTTATTGGTATTAAAATTGAAAACAATAAAATTCAAACTCATATCACATAAGATTATGGTTTGCTTTTTAAGTAAAAAGTGCTATCTCACTTATTTAAAAATTGAATAGTAAATAAGTATAATTGATTACATTTATAGGTTAACAGAAAAACATATCACTCAATAGATGCAAAAATATATTTTTGCAAATGTAATTAAAATTCATGATTTTTTAAAAAAAGGCTGGAGTGGGAGTTTAGCCTGGCTTTTAAGACACCAGTACCGTGCACCTGAGTTTAATGCTCCGCTCCAGCTCCTGACTCCTGATTCCTGCCAAGGAAGATTCCGAAAGGCAGCAGTGATGGCTCAAGTAGTTGGGTTCCTGTCACCTGTGTGGGAGACCTAGAGGACATTCCTGTCTTCAGCCCTGGCTGTTGAGGGCATCTGGGGAGTGAACAAGTAAATAGGAGATTCTCCCTCTCCCTCTCCCTCTCCCTCTCTCCCCAACCCTCCTCCCTACCTCTCAAATGAAAAAAGTCAATGATGGGGAAGCTCCCCATGAGCTCTCCAGACGCCTCTCTTTGGCTATCAAAGTATCCAAATGTTCTAATATTGTACCTATGATATTACAATTGGAATGATCAGTTTATATGTTCTGTCTCCTAAACTGAAGTGGCATCTTATAAATTCTATTGTCCAAGCACCTAGTATGGTGCCTGCTAAGAGGAGGTTCTCATTAAGTGCTGGCTGGATGGCTGGGTGTTCAGATGGACAAACAGAACAGAGGACAGATGGAGGAATGGATGGACGCATGCATGAGAAGAGCAATCAGGCGTGGGGCTTGTATGCATAAGTCTTAGAGGATGTTTCTCACAGGTCTGAGGGTGAGCCATCTTGGAGATGGAAGGGACACCAGAGCTGCCTGTGGCTTCGATTGGGGACACCAAGCAGAGCACTTCCTCAGGACTGTGCAAGGACCACACGCAAGACAGAGCTTTACTCTGACACACACACTCTTCCCACAAGTCTTATGCCCCAGTGCCAATGGTAAAGGCTGCAGGAGTCAGGGGAAAGACAAGAGGGACAAAGAAGGCAGGGCAGGCTTAGCAAAGACAACCTCTGGATGGCCCATCCTGGAGTAACCCTGTAATCATGGTGCAAAGGTCAGCACGTCTTTTCTGTAAGGGGCTAAGAAGAAATATTTTAGGCTTTGACAGACATGTAGCATCTGTTACAACTGCTCACGTTTATCACTGTGGTACAAAATCAACCATCAATGAATGGGAGTATCTGCATTCCAATAAAACTTTTTTTAAAGAATTTTTATTTATTTTGAAAATCAGGGTTACACACACACACACACACAGAGAGAGAGAGAGAGAGAGAGAGAGAGAGAGAGAGAGAGAGAGTTTTCCACCCACTGGTTCACTCCCCAGATGGCCACAATGGCCAGGGCTGGGCCAGACCAAAGCCAGGAGCCAGGAGCTCCTTCCAGATCTCCCATGTAGGTGCAGGGGTCCAAGCACTTGGGCCATCTTCTGCTGCTTTCCCAGGCACATTAGCAGGGAGATGGGTCAGAAGTGGAGCAGCTGGGACATGAACCAGCACATATGGGATGCTGGCATTGGAAGCAGCAACTTTACCAGCTATGCCACAATGCTGGTCCCTCCAATAAAATTTGATTTCCAGAACTAGACAGTGGCCTCTCGTTGGCCAATGGGCCACATCTGCGGACTTTCCACCTTGATCCTTGATACTCCAAGGACCAGCAACAACATCAGCATTACAGGGGAACTTATTAGATTTGCATAAACTTGGGCATGAGACGAACTGAATCAGAATCTCATTTCCCAGGAGGCCCAGTCCAGTTTGAGAAGTGCTCTGCACAACCTTCCTGACCCCTTTCAGCATGGGTGCTAAGACGCTGTCAACACAGAGGCTCAGGAATATTTCACTTAGTGCCATCTTTACAAATCTGATATGGGCCAGGAGGAACTCTCTCATATACTTCAGTTCTCCAAGCAGTTAGAGTCCCTTGTGAGGCACCAGGCCACAGGGTGGGACTTGACAGATGACAATCTGTTCAGAGCAGCTGCCAATGAGACAAGGTCTACAGAAGTTACAAAAGCAATGAACCCCAGAGCCAATCTACTCTCAAATTCTGCTCCCTATGCCTTCCCTTTTCAGGGATGGAACATCTTCAAGTAGCTCTGAAAACCTCTTTTTCCCCCCAAAGATTTATTTATTTGAAAGGCAGAGTTGTGGGGGAGGGAGGGAGGGAGGGAATAGAGAGAGAGAAAGAGAGATCTTTATCCATTGGTTCCATCCCCAAATGGCTGCAACAGCCGGGACTATGCCAGACCAAAGCCAGGAGCCAGGAGCTTCTTCCAAGTCTCCTAAGTGAGTGTCAGGTACTCAGACCATATGCTTCCGCTTCTTCCCAGGTGCATTAGCAGGGAGCTGGATTGGAAGTAGAGCAGCCAGAACACAAACCAGCGCCCATATGGGACGCTGGCATCACAGCCAGTGGCGGCTTTACCTGCTACACCACAACACCAGCTCCATTGACTGACTACCTTTTACTCGCTGTTTGCCTTACAATTTCTCGGTCTCCTACCAAGATAAAGGGAAAACTCATGAAGTCTCCACTCCCAAGTGCAACTGTGTGCTCTGCATCTCAAGGAAGCTCCCCATCACCGATTAGCTCCTCGAACACTGGTTCGCAACCTGAAGTAGTTTTGCCCCCCAGGGACCAATTGACAATATCTAGAGACATTTTTGGTTCTCAAACTACAGTGGGGAATGATACTGGCATCTAGTGGGTAGGGGCCAAGGATGACGCTAAACATCCTGCAATGCCCCGGACAGGCCCCCAGTCTGAAGAACTGTCCATTCCGAAGCATTTTCACAGTGCCCAGCCTGAGACACCTGCCTAGAACAAACATCACTAGTTCACCAACCAGCCTCAGCCATGCTCAGGGCTTGTGGACCTTGTGTGCATCACCAGAAAGATGTCAAGGTGGGGGCTGCTGGGCAGCCCTCGGCACCTTGATCAGGGAAGCACAGGTCCAAGCCCTGGACCAGCAACTCAATATTCCCGATCACAGGAGCGCCCTGCCCAGGCTCTGGGAGGATGACACAATAACTAAGCCCTCCAGAGGCACATTGCACACCAACACATACATTTATTTATTTATTTATTTATTTCAAAATGCTGTTTTATTCAGGGATAAATGAAAATAAATTTAACTAATTATTTATTTGAAAGGTGGAGTGACTGAGAGAGGGAGACACACATACACATACACATTCACACACTCACACACACACACACACACTGATAAAGAGACACCTTCCATTTGCTGATTACTCCTCACATGCCTCAAACAGCTAGGATTGGGCCAGGCCAAAGTCAGGAGCCAGGAACTCCATCTGGGTTTCCTGTGTTGGTGATAGGAACCCAAATACTTGGGTCATCACCTGCTCCTCCCAGGCCCATGATCAGGAAGTCTGATCAGAAGCAGAGGAAGGACATTATCCCAGGCATTTTGCAAATAAGCTTATTTTATAAGTCTCCTAATAAGCTCTTACTGAAAACCTTCAGATTGAGACTGGGAACACATAACCTTATGTTCTCTTTCTTAAGTAATCTATGTATTGGAATAACATCAATCTGAATGTTTCATTAAAGAAACAAATTGTGAGGCACCCATGTTTCTTTTCCTTTGTAGACACCTAATAGGCTTTAATATACAGTGAAGTGGAATTATTGGTCATCTCACTGAACTCTCATCTTGCCTAGATGATTGCATAGAGCTGACCAACACATTTATTAATTTCTAGATGGAGAGCCACTTGGCACAAGATCTAGACTGGTTCCTCCTTTAGATACGTCAGTCCCAAGGATTACGTTGGCAAGGACAGAATTATGACTTAGGAGCTAGATATTTACAGAGCAAGGGCTCTCTCCCAGCAATAACTCATGGGATTAACCTTATCCCACTCTAGAGAAAAAAATCTTCTGTAGAAAACATTATGGAGGGGGCCGGTGCTATGGCATAGCAGGTAAAGCCACTGCCTCCAGTGCGGGCATCCCATATGGGCAGCAGTTCAAGTCCTGGCTGCTCCACTTCTGATCCAGCTCTCTGCTATGCCTGAGAAAGCAGTAGAGGATGGTCCAACTCCTTGGGCCCCTGTAACTGTGTGGGAGACCCAGAGGAAGTTCCTGGCTCCTGGCTTTGGATCGGCGCAGCTCAGGCTGTTGTGGCCAACTGGGGAGTAAAACAGCAGATAGAAGACCTCTCTCTCTCTCTCTCTCTCTCTCTCTGCCTCTCCTTCTCTCTGTGTGTAACTCTGACTTTCAAATAAACAAATAAATTGAGCTGGGCTGTGGTGCAGAGGGTGAAAGCCCTGGCCTGAAGCACCGTCATCCCATATGGGTGCTGGTTCTAGTCCCAGCTGCTGCTCCTCTTCTGATCCAGCTCTCTGCTATAGCCTGGGAAAGCAGTAGAAGATGGCCCAAGTCCTTGGGTCCCTGTACCCATGTGGAGACCTGGAAGAAGCTCCTGGCTCCTGGCTTTGGATCAGCACAGTTACAGCCATTTAAGCCATCTGGAGAGTGAACTAGCAGATGGAAGACCTCTCTCTCTTTCTCTACCTTTCTCTGTAACTCTTTCAAATAAATAAAATAAATTTAAAAAAAAAATATTTTAATAAAAAAGAAAAAAGCATTAAGGGGCTAGTCTGCCAGCATCAGCTACATTCTCTTTGGGTAGCACCTACCAATTCTTACAAATCTCTCATTCATCTATGGCCCAAAGATCCTTCACCTATCACTGATGAACGGCAGCCAATGGGCAAGAGACAGCTTCTTTAGGGAAGAATCTTGTTTTCCTGACCACACGCTGGTCTCCTGATGAAGATGGCAATAAACCCTGTCTTGCGAGCATCATCTCTCAGACTGAATGGCTAATAGCATTGCATGGTATCTTACTTTCACTAGCTTCCATTTTCCAGGTAAATCATTCTCAGTGTTGCAAATCCATATTCTCCCCAGGCGTTTGAGCCTGCCCATTTACACTGAGTGACAAAGTTTAAAATGCAAGATACCTGGCGATATCCATTTCATTTCATATATATTTCAGTAGAAGTAATGGGCATCCTCTGGGAAGCCTGCATACGGGTGACTATATCTTGTTATATAGTACTCAGCAGGTGGAAATCTCGTTATCTCATTAGCTACCTGTGCAGAAGTGTGCTGTCAGGAGCAGAGACGTATCTGGTAGGAAGAGTTCATCCCTGAAGATGTTGGGCTCAGAAAGCAGAGGACTTGGCTGGCCCCAGTTGGCGTCTGAGATTCTGAAAGAAAAAAGAAGCAACAGAGAGAATATCACATACCCAGGACAGCCCAACACGTCGTGGACCAAGTGGTACCAGGAACCCAACAGAGAAGCCTTGGTGGTATGTGTGTATCTTTAGAGAGATGAATAGCACCCCCAGAGATGAGAAATCCCCTTGCCAGAGTTTGTTCTAGAATTTGGATCAGACAGTCTGAAAAATCAACCTCCCAAGGTCATAACAGAAAGGAAGCAAAAGGAACAAGATCAAAGACACCTGCTTCCTCTTCGCTTCCAACAGCCAAAGCCTACAAAACTGCTACAGTAGGACACGTGGGCCCAGCCCTTTGTCAGTGAAGTTTACAGGGCAGCCCCTCTGGAGCAGGGAGGGAGGAAATTTGGTTCCCAAACAATGAGGCCCAGATGGGCCATGAACTGAAGTCTGACGCAGCTCTGTGTGGGCACTAAAAACCTGGAAATGCTGACGTGTGGATTCCCAGAGGTTCCTTCCACGCACAAGAAGCAAGTCCTCTGTGCAACCCACTAGGAAGCTCCCTCCTGCTGCCAGCTTCATTGCAGAGTTTGTAGTTAGAATGAAGTCAGTCCCTGAGCTCCCGGAGCACTGAGCAGCCCCTGCTCCATATGGACACACTCATTCAGTGTCACCGCTGCATCCTGCCTACTCCCATAGCACTACTGACGTCTGTCTGTGCCTTTATGGATACTTGCCTCAGCTGCTTCTGCCCCATAAAGGATTTATGCTTCCTCCTTCTCTGTGTTTTACTGGTCAAGAAATTAAGAACAAAAAAGAAAAGGAAATTCAAAGTGCTGGATTAGTGCTTTACAGACCGATGTACCAAAGAGCAGAAGCAGGTCTTTGAGGCCCACGAACTTCCACTCTGCACCTGTGAGAAACGTCAAGGGCTGAATAGAAGGCGATCACACAGAGTCGGATGGCAAAAAGCTTGAGTGCAAAGACAGCTCCCACATGACAGACGAGCCAGAGAATACACAAGGCCCCCGAGAAATGACTGCAGAGAGAAACCCTGATTTTCTCCCTAGGACTGATAAGCACTCTATGTGACACATCGAACACGCTAGCCTGCCAGTCACTGGTTTGCTTTGCTCCAGTACTCTTCCCCTCCAACCTACCATGGTGATTCACTTCCAGGGACACATCCTGGACCAGGCCACCACCTGGAAAGGCTCCTCCATCTCCGAAGTCTGGGCTGTGAACTCCTCGAGAGCAGGGACCACGTCTGAACTCCTCTTTGTTCCCAGAGCCTCCCACAGGAAGCGCACACAGCTAATTCGCAGTGACTTGGATGAATGACTCACCCAGAATCCCACTCTTCAATTAGAAACTTCTCTCCTATTTCTCCCACGCCTGGAATCAAAGTAAACACGCTCCAGCCTCTCAGACTGCTAGCTTCTCCTCCTCTCCACGCTCACCACGTTCATGCTTTCATCCTAGGTGTGTTTTCCACGTGCAGCCTATGCTGGCGACCACAGCTACACCTCTGCTCTAACCAGGGCCCTTCTGCTTCCCTCCCTCCACCCCAAGTCTAACCCACAAACCCCTCAACCTCCCCCCACTTGCTCTCCAGCCCACAGTCCAACTGCTTCTGAAAGGAAAAAATAAAATCATTTTATTTTTTATTTATGTGCTTACGTCACTGTAAATGTTTCGTTTACAAACTCAATCCATTGAGGCTTTGATGTTGCTTGGAAGTACTATATGTATATCCCTGATGTCACTTTCTCATTCCGTAGAGAAAATCTATCAAATCTCTGATTGCTTTTTCAGGCTCACCTGTCTATCCTCGCCTCTTCCAAGCTTCCCACTTCCCAGAAAATAAAGGTCACTCTATGTGAACTATAACTTCCTTTCCTTCGACCTCAGTCTGACCTTCTCCATCCTGTGCTTTTGATCAAATATTTATTTTTTCTTCCTACAACACATTGTTCCATGAATAACTGACTCTTATTTCACTTTTCCTTTTTTACTGATCTGCATGTAGCTTCATAAATAGGTAGGCAGACGCATGGTTGGATAGATGGGTGGGTGGGTGGATGGACAGATAGATGACATGAATATATGGATATTATATACATGTATAATTCTCTCTCAAACTTTCTCTCAGTATCTTCCATTCCCCTCACTTTCTTCCCTGTCCCTTGATTTGTGTGTACATAAACATATACATGACTATACATATGGATATACACGTCTCTGTGTATTTATATATGCGTATATGTACCTTTGTCCTTTCCAAACTACTCTCTCAATCTTTGTATCTATTCACTCTCTATAAATTTATTTAATTGCCCCCTCTTAAATAATCTCCTATTTGTTCCATTTCCCCTGTAGATCCTTGTCACTCACTCTCCTTCCCTTCACTGCCAAACATCTTCATAGAAACTTACACTTCCTCTTTTCATCTCTTCCATCATTCAGTCTTTGCCCTGAAAAAAATCCGGCCTTGTATCCAGCCTGTCTATGAAAGAATCGTCAGCAGGGTGGCCGAGTTGAGACAATCAGGTCTGCACTTCCAATGAGTGCTCCGGGATGGAGACTACGAGCTCCCAGCTGTTGGGGATCTCACATCACATCCTCCACAGATGCTGGTTAGCGCAGTGCCTGGCATGTAAGTTTTTTAAAACACATTCTGTCAAGGTAAAGGGAAGCTAGATGTGTGGGCTAAAACTGCTGACACGGGATTTAAAACGGAATCAATAGGTGTTGAACCATCTGTCGCATAATGCCTGAAACTCCAGAAAAGAAATTTGTCTTGATTGTAACACAGAGCTATGCTACAGAATCAGAGTTCAGACCTGGTATGGGCCCCATCAAGACTCACGTGACCACAGACCACGGAAATCCCAGTGCTATTACAGCAGAGATGGGACACGAAGAACAGGACTAGGCAGAGGTCAGTCCTAGGAATGGCACACCATTAACCCACTGCAGTGCACTCTAGCCTGGAGGCAGACTACCTTCCTATATGAGGCAGGGCCTGCTTGTCAATAAATATTTGCTAAGCCCTACTAGAACCATTTATTCAGCAAAGCAGTCTACTGCTCCCAAGAGACAGAAAATGCCTTGAAGGAAAGTCTATGTCGTAGTCACCTCTGTGTCCAGTGCTTGACTCAATTAAGTGCTTTCTTTGAATGAGTAAATACAGAAAGGAATAAATATGGTCAGCAAAAGACATTTGCAACCCAGCTACTTATAATGCAAACAGAATAAACTGTAAAAGGAATGCAGATTAAATAGTATGGGGCATTTGGGAAAGAGTAGCTAATTCCAATAATAGGGTAGCAATAGTGAGATCCCACGAAGACTTCAGAGAGGTAGCATTCAAATTGAACGTTGAACTACTGAGTATTAATTTAATACCTAATTATACTAACAGCTCACATTTTCCAAGACCTTCCTTTATAACCAGGCAATTTGCTAAAGGTATTATGCAGATATTTAATTTAAGCCTCTTAACAATCCTGTGAAGTGAGTGCTACTATCTCCCTTTTTAGAAGGTAAAACTGAGGCATGGGAAGTTAAAGTTATCCAAGATCACAGTTTGCAAATGTTGGAGTTTGAATTTTTTTAAAAAAGATTTATTTATTTATTTATTTGAAAGGCAGAGCAATAAAGAGGGCAAGAGAGAACAAGGGAGAAAGGGAGGGAAGAAGAAAAGGAAAGGGAGAGACAGAGACAGAGATATAGAGAGAGACATCTTCCATCCACTAGTTCACTCTCCAAATGGCCACAAGGGCATGGGCTGGGCCAAGCAAAAGCCAGGAAGCAGAATCTCCATCTGGGTCTCCCATGTGGGTGTCAAGGGCCCAAGTACTTGCACCATCTTCCACTACCTTCACAGATGCATTAGCAGGCATCTGGATAAGAAGTGAGACTGCCAGGGCTCAAACTGGCACTCTGATATAGGATGCTGGCATTGCGGGCAGCAGGTTAGCTCACTGTGACACAACACCTGCCGCTAACATTGCAATTTAAATTTAAGCATCCCAACTCCAGTGCTTTTAACTTATAGACTATACTTGCCAAGAGTAAAGAAAGGCACTGAAGACAGAAGAAAGAACATGAGCTAAAATATATGGGACATCTGAAGCAAAGAGCTGTACAAAAGGACTTAATAAAAATTGAAGATGGAGGGGCTGGTGCTGTGGTGAAGCAGGTAAAGCCACAGTCTGCAGTGCCAGCAACCCATATGGGTGCTGGCTTGAGACATGGCTGCTCCACTTTCGATCCAACTCTGCTATGGCCTGAGAAAGAAGTAGAAGATGTCCCAAGTCCTTGGGCCCCTGCACCCACGTGGGAGACCCAGAAGAAGCTCCTGGCTCCTGGATTCAGACTGGTCCAGCTCTAGCCGTTGAGGCCATTTGGGGAGTAAACCAGTGGATGGAAGATTCTCTCTGCCTCTGCTCTGCCTCTCTCTAACTTTGCCTTTCAAATAAATAAATAAACCTTCATTTAAAATATGAAGATGGAAAGGACAGAATTGGATCTTGGAGAATTTGTAGTGCCTTACAGAGGTTAAACTTAATTTTACAGGCAATAAATAATATCAACAGGAGAAAGACATGGTCAGTTCTGCATTCTACAAAGAAAAGGCTGGGACTGGCACTGTGATATAGTTGGTAAAGACACCACCTGCAGTGCTGGCATCCCATATAGGTGCTGGTTCAAGTCCCCACTGCTCCACTTTCGATCCACCTCCTTGCTAATGTGCCTGGGAAAGCAGTGGAACAAGGCTCAAGTACTTAAGCCCCTGCACCCATGTGGGAGACCTGGAAGAAGCTCCTGGCTCCTGGCTTTTAGATCAACCAAGTTCTTTTGCGGAGTGAACCAGCAGATGGAAGATCTAGCTCTTTCTCTGTCTCTTATCTCTCTCTGTTTCTCTGTCTGTCTCTCTTTCTCCCATCTCTGTAATTCTGCCTTTCAAATAAATAAATAAATCTTAAAAAAAAATAACTACAGACAAATCAAAATGCTATTCTAAAAAATATTCATATAACCCAATGAAGGGAAGAAACAGAAAACAAAAACAAACAAAAAAACACAAAAGGAACAGAGGACAAAAATCAAAATGGCAAACTTAGGTACTACCATATCAATACATTTAATGTCAATTATCTAAATATAGCAATTAGCTATTGGCAAAGTCAATTAAAAAATCATGACTCGGGGGCCAGCACTGTGGCATAACAGGTTAAGTTGCCATCTGCAATGCCAGCAACTCGTAAGTGTGCCATTTTTATTCCTGCTGCTCCACTTCCAATCCAGTTCCCTGCTAATGTGCCTAGGAAAGCAGCAGAGGATGGCCCAAGTCCTTGGGCCCCTGCACCCACACAGAAGACCCGAAAGAAGCTCCTGGCTTTGGCCTAGCTGAGCCCTGGCCATTGAGGCCATTTGGAGAGTGAACCAGTGGATCAAAGATCTCTTTCTCTCTCTCCTTCTCTCTGTAATTCTGCCTTTCAAATAAATAAATATTTTTTTTAAAGGATACTGGACCGCTATCTCACACTGGATACAAAAATTAACTTAATATGGATTACCAAAGACCTAATTGAAGCCATTAAAACTATAAACTCTTAGAAGAAAATTGTAAAAAAGCACGACTGGGGTTGGACATTTGGCCTAGTAGTTAAAATGCCAGTTAAGATGCTCACATCCTGTATGAGAGAACCACACTTCAATTCCAGAGTACTAAGCTCTGACTCCAGATTACAACCTTCTGCTAGTGCAGACCCTGAGAGAGGGTAATAATGGTTCAAGTAATTGAGAGTACGTGAGAGGAATCAGCCTACCCAATTTCAGTAAGGACAACACTGCTAACTTAATCAAGACTCTGTGTTATTACAAAGGGATGGATACACAGATCAATGGAACTTCAACAGAGAACCTAGATATAGACCCACACAAATAGTACCAACTGATTTTTGACAAACATTCAATCAATTCAATGCAGGAAGATAGTCCTTCAACAAACAATGCTTTAGGAACTGGATAATCATAAGCAAAAATGTAGTCTTTGACCTCAACTTCACATCTTATATTAAAAGTTAACTCTAAATGGACCCCAGACTTAAATGTAGAATGTAAAATAATGACACTTTAAGAAAAAAATAAAAGGAGAAAACTTTCAGTCAAGTAAAGAATTCTTAGACTTGACACTAAAAGTACTATTCATGTCAGGGAAAATGAATAATGTGGGCTTCGGCAAAATTAACATTTCCTCTGTGAAAGACCTTCTTAAAGGGGATGAAAAGTGAAATACAAAAAAAAAGATAAAGTATTTTCAAATTATATAATCTAAGAAGAAGTATCTAGAATATATATACAGAACTCTCAAACACAATAACAAA